TTCTGTTATTTGGTGCAGTCATTTGTTTTATAGTTGAAGTAGTTAAGATTGTAATGATCGGGGAAGAATCCTCTCGACAGTACGTTCCACCAAGAATCGGCTCTTAGAAAAAAGCTGTCCGAAAGGACCTTCCTTCCTATCAATGGAATACAAAGGGAATGCGAGTGATTCGCCCTGTGCACATCGCACGGCCGATCGTCGCTGTAAAGGTCTGAATTGGTGGCACTGGATTCAGACCATTTTCCATTGAAATAACATAGAGTAGCGATAAGCTTGTGAAGTTTCGTCCGTGGGAAAGTGGTTGTAGGATTGGAAATCGCTCATCGCCTACAAGGCCGCGTAAAGGCTTTTCAACTCTGCCAAGGCTGGAAATTGAATACTGGACAGCTCCAGTCAAGATATGGCAGTAATATTCCATGATTTGTCTGATCTGACTCTTATAAAATGTGAAGAGATTCCACGGTCCTGATTCTAACGTCCGAGTATAATATAATCAAATAACATATCACCATTCCAAGGCTTCGAGCCGCTTTCGGTATTCAGGGCCAATTGCTGGGTACCTAGACTATAGTGGTAATGTTGCCGACATTACCACCAGTTACTGGTGAACGCCTCAAGGTGCTGCCAGTAAAAGGTTGTAATCATTTTAACCGTATACAGGTAAAGGCGTCGTCACGAAGCGTGTAAGAAAGCGAGTTTGTTCTTTTTGACAATTTCTAAAAAAAATCGTCATATCACCAGCTGATGGGAAACGCCTCAACTTACTGCCGGTAGACGGTGGGTCAATGCTCATAGGAAGGACAGTGTTTTCAAAGCAAATCGGACACACGGACGCGCACAGCTTCTGAACCCATTGCGAGGCGCACAAACTGCGGTATATTGCCGACAGTGCTACCGTCTATTGGTAAACGCATCGAGCTGACGTGTGCAGGAAGATGACCGTCCGGAGAGACGCGCCACCCCTCGACCTGCTGCACTAGTCGGCGTTTTTTTTTTTTTTTTTTTAATTTTGACGATTTTAAAATAAGTCGTTTCGTACCACCGGCAACCAGCAGATGCTAAAATTAATTTATAAATATTTTTTATAATCATAAACATATCGCCCCCCCTACAACAACAATAAATCCACTAAGATACAAGTGGTTACTGAGTGCGGAAGAATGAAACAAAGCGAAACATTATTAAGGAGAAAGAACAATAAAAGAATAATCAAGAGGGGAGTGGATAACGATTGACATTGCGTTTGAATTTTTGAAGATCAAAGTTGTCTGGGAAAAACAGAAACGAAATAGATTTTTGTTCCACAAGTGAGAAGTGCGAATTGAAAAGAAACTAGTTAGCATGAAATTGGCAAAGTGCAACAGCAAGATAATACAAAAATTGCAGGTAAATATTCATTGAGTAATTTTTTTTTTTTTCTGGGGAAAGCGCATGATTTTTGTGATGAATTATTTGACCGACTGGGCGATTGACTGATCTTAGGAATGCGTTCATTTGTTACACTGATAAAATATGGAAGCGACTGTTTGATCTTAGGAAGTATATGGATTTTTCCAATAACCTGAAGGAGAGTTCCAGGGTGCTTCTCGGCAAATGTATCAGATACTATACTGATCCTATCTAGAAGTGCCGATCCAAATATAAATCAATCTTTCATTTTTTAAAAGGTACTAGAAACCATTTATAAAGAAATTCTACTGAATAGTCCCAGGCCCGACAAAAAGGTTTTTTTTTTTAATTCGTTTGTTCACATTATTTTCATTATTCAGACTATTGTCCTCATCTTTGTCGCCATATTTATTACAACGTTTCGGTCGTTTTACGCTCCGGCCTTCTTCAGGTGGTTGGAATATCGAACCGAACCCTTTATTTCGCTCACTGGGGTAGACTGTTCTAGTTCCAAGTGCCATGTTTAATGGATGTCAATTATCAGTTATCTCCTGTTAATTCCCCTCTGAAAGTTCTCCACTGCTTTAAGCAGGTATTGAACTCACACACTTTGGGCCCTGTCACTGGATCTAACCAACGCCTTTATCCACTGTGCCATGTGTCCTTGAGCACGTGGAACTAGAACAGTCTACTCCAGTGAGCGAAATAAAGGGTTAAGTTCGACATTCCAACCACCTGAAGAAGGCCGGCGTGTATAACGGCCGAAACGTTATAATAAATATGGCGACAAAGATGAGGACAATAGTCCGAATAATGTAAATAATGTACATAATACCTCATCTCAGAAATATAGACAGATAGAAAGAGTACGTTGAAATTTCAGTTCGACATTCCAACCACCTGAAGAAGGCCGGAGCGTACAACGGGCGAAACTTAGTAATAAATATGGCGACAAAGATGAGGACAATAGTCCGAATAATGTAAATAATGTACATAATACCTTATCTCAGAAATATAGACAGATCGTTTGTTCATGTTTCGAGTCGAGTCAAGAACTTTTTAGCACCCTATTGTATATATTTTAAAATTTATATGTGAACAGCCTAATCTGGTGTTAGTAAAAAAATTAATGAGTGCATTGCTTAACTAGAAGTAAATAAATAAATAAATTACATTGGAGGGTAATAAGAGTTTTTGTGTATTGTGTGGGACGGGCCATAGAGGGTAGAGACGAAAATCAACGGAGAAAAATGAAATGTGGGTTAAACGAATATCTCTAATTCAAATGATGGTGGGATTTACCTTTGATCCCCGCTTCGACAAAAAGAACAATTGAAAAATGACGTCGGCGAGAAGACAACGTGGCTGTCCCGGTAAGCACGTGCTTTTATCACCCGACCCTCGACCGATGTCATATCCTTTCGTTTTAAACAGAGGTTAAAAAAAAAACAAGTAGAAAAGAAAAAGAAAGAATAAAACGCGAGAACATCTCAGTTTGTCCGATTTACCGAGGCGAAGTGGTTTCCGTTTTCGACCCAGAAGCAGACAGACTGAGGTAAATGGCAATATTTTGGTTTTCATGCTGTTCATATTTAATTTTACTTATCTGTCTCTGACTGACTTTCACTGTCTCTATTTTTATCTTTCTATTTGTCCGTCTGTTTCTCTCTCTCTCTCTCTCTCTCTCTCTCTCTCTATATATATATATATATATATATATATATATATATATATATATTTAATTGAGGCAGAAGATCATTATTCAAACGTATATGTTTAAATATATATATATATATATGTATGTATGTGAAAAGTGTGTATATAAATATAAATAAATATATATATATATATAATTAAACTTTATATATTATATGCACTTCTACTTATTAAAAAACGATCAATATCAGAGATAAAAGCTATATATATATATATATATATATATATATATATATATATATATATATTTGGTTGGATAGATGAGTTTGTGACCCTGGGTTTTCACGCTTTAGCGATCGTCAGACAAACTAATAAGTACCGCTGTTCATATAATATATAAATAATTATACATATTTATTTATATTTATATACACTTTTCACACACACACACAACATATATATATATATATATATATATATATATATATATATATATATAGGCTCAATGTTCACCGAATACAAGGCCCAAGAGCTACTCAAAGTAGAGGGTTACTATGTGGTGCAGTAGGAGCGTTAGAAAGAGCAAGAAGTGAAGTTCTTGTGACCATGCAGAAAAGATTGACAGCTAAAAATGATCAAGAAGTGATTAAGATTTAATTACTGAATAACATTTCAGAGTTCAGTTGGAAACGTTAGATGTATAACGAGGAAGTAGACTTTTGAAGGAACCGGAAACCCAATCCTAAACAGGAAGCAGCAACGGATGAATGTCTACTCCTGTCCAAAGGCTGGGGTGGAGTATGAACCGGATGATTCTACTTATATATATATATATATATATATATATATAGCACAGGCAATGAATCCGTTGGTATATAATCCCAGTGGATCGTAGTAATATCAAATATTAAAACTGATCCAGAAAATGAACTCAATGTATTTATTATAACAGAACATATAAATTACACAAAATCCAAAATTACCTTATATGAGGTGGAGGTGGGGGGTGCACCGGGTTTGAATATGACTCACATAGATTTCGTCGGTTGAAATAGATCTATCCCCCCCCACATGAGCTAATTTGGAACTTTTGTTGTAATACTATATATATATATATATATATATATGTGTGTGTGTGTGTGTGTGTGTGTGTGTGTGTGTGTGTGTGTGTGTGTGTGTGTGTGTGTGTGTGTCTTCAGGATGTGGGCGATCATGGCTCTCCGAAGACTCCTTCTTGGAAAAGACGTTGAACTAATTTCCCGCAGCATTCTCCGGGGATTTTTAATTCAAAATTTTCCTTCTCCTACATTGCTTGCACCAAAGTATAGTCGTCCTGGGTATGACGATAAACTACATCCACGCCCTGGGTATGACGATAAACTACGTCCAACAGCAATGCGTCTGATTATACGTTTTTAAAAAAATAATGTTACCAGCTATACATTTTTTAGGAAAAAATATTAACAGAAATAGATTTTTAACAAAACAAAATTATTACCAGGAAAAAAAGTTATCGGCATTAAATGACCCATTGAGGTTGATGTGCCGTAAAACAAAACAAAACAAATCAAAGTATAGATAAATCAGATCGATTCTCACTAGGTGTCCTATTTTTCTTTGCAAATATGCAATGTCCCTTTAGGATGTAGATGATCATGACTCTACACAGCTTCGTTTTCTTTATTATAAAAAAAAAAGTGGAATGGTTTTCCCGTTGCCATTTCGCAGTTTGGAATTCTGGAGGTTACTTCACTTCAGCTGGGTGCCAGCCAACGTTTAAGAATGCAGTCTACGCTGCAATTTAACTCATAGCTGAGAGCAGGAGGAAACAAGGGATTGATATTTTTCTCAGAGTCACTAGTGTGAAAGTGAACGCAACGAGGTCGGAATTTAAACTCGGCTTTTTTTCTCATTTTTTTTTTTTTTGGCTGATTTCTCTTCCGCGCTGATGACAGACTGCCAACATGTCAAATGTTCTGATATTCGGTTACTAAATTTGTCAACACGCTTTTATCTATCTATCTATCTATCTATCTATCTATCTATCTATCTATCTATCTATCTATCTATCTATCCCTGTTCATAACTATCAATCTATCTACCTTTTTCCATTCTGACTATATCTATCTATCTATCTATCTATCTATCTATCTATCTATCTATCTATCTATCTATCTATCCCTGTTCATAACTATCAATCTATCTACCTTTTTCCATTCTGACTATATCTATCTATCTATCTATCTATCTATCTATCTATCCCTGTTCATAACTATCAATCTATCTACCTTTTTCCATTCTGACTATATCTATCTATCTATCTATCTATCTATCTATCTATCTATCTATCTATCTATCTATCCCTGTTCATAACTATCAATCTATCTACCTTTTTCCATTCTGACTATATCTATCTATCTATCTATCTATCTATCTATCTATCTATCTATCTATCTATCTATCTATCTATCTATCTATCTATCCCTGTTCATAACTATCAATCTATCTACCTTTTTCCATTCTGACTATATCTATCTATCTATCTATCTATCTATCTATCTATCTATCTATCTATCTATCTATCTATCTCAGTCTGTTCCTATCTATCTAAATCTATTTCTTCCTATTTATCAATCTGCATCCGGTTATAAGGTGCGTCAGTCCGTGGTACAAGTGCTGAGCAGTGTTCATGGACCATGTGCTTCAGTGGATATTATAACCATCAGAAAGTGTCATTCCTAGCCCGATGAAGACGGGATCTGTGGTTGACACCCAAAGAAACGATCATCCTTCAACATCAAGATTGTAAGAAAATATGAAAAGCGTTGCATTTTAACACTGTACTGTGCTTCGATGATTGGACGGTTAAAAATAAAAAGGTTTCCTGAAAATCGACCAATAACTAATAAATTTGTTAAGAATTTTAAATAGGGAGTTCTTTCCACCAACAACCCCCTATATATATATATATATATATATATATATAAAGAAAGAACTTTTTTAATTTTAGTCATTAATTTTCTCCGTATCTCTATGTCATTCTGCTCATATCTATCTATCTATCTATCTATCTATCTATCTATCTAAATCTATTCCTATCCATATATCTATCTATCGATCGATGTATCTAAATCTAATTCTTCTTGTCTATCAATCTGTATTGGTCTATCTATCTATCTATCTATCTATCTATCTATCTATCTATTCATTCATCTATCTATCTATCTATCTAAGTCTGTTCATATGTGATATGTTCTATCAGCCTGTATATTTGTTTGCCTGTCTATCTATATATGTATGTATGTATGTATGTATGTATGTATGTATGTATGTATGTATGTATCTATATTCTTCTATATATACAGGGTGCGATGGGTAAATTGTTGCCATTTTATATTTTTAAATTCACACAAGCGTGTTATTTGTTTTTTTTTATTTTGTCGACTACAAAATATAGTAGGTTCAGTTGGGCAGTATCTGTGAGCAAGATAGACAGGAATCGATTTAGATAGATAGATAGATAGATAGATAGATAGATAGTGACAGACAGATATATATATATATGTATGTATGTATCTATGTATGTATGTATATATGTATAGATAAATAGATAGATATTTAGGAAGGAAGGAATAGATTTAGATTGTTTGATAGATGAGTATGTACTGAGATATTAAGAAAAAAAGGAAGGAATTAATTTAGATACCTATATAGATCAATAGATAGGAATGAACCGATATAGATAGAATGAAAGGAATGAACAGTTTTAGATAGATAGATAGATAGATAGATAGATAGATAGATAGATAGATAGGAATAAACAAATACAGATTGATAACGTAAAACCATTTTTGCACTGTATCTTAGATTGTACATTTAATAATTCAAAAACGAAGTATTTTTGGATATATGTTTATATGGACACACACACACACACACACACACACACACACGCACACACACACAGGTATTAAAACCAGGTATTGTTATAATGACATTATCACCTGGCCTCTCCAGTGTAAGGGAGCTAACTCTCATACAGAGAATGTTTACAGATATTACAGGCAAAAATGTTTTTTTTTGTTTTTTGTTTTTTTCAAAACGGTTTTCACACATTGCAGACTGACCTTTTAACCCATTTTTATTTTCGGAATATTAATCTCCTCATGACCCCACATACTGACTCTTTAGATGCACCTGACAAGATTTCAGTTTTTTCCCGCCATTATTTCAGAACATGTGACGCAGTATATGACATGTATTTTTAATGTACCTTTTCGTCAGACTCACATACATAATATATTTGTACAATCAACATTTTCACACACAAAAAAAAAAGCACAGAAAGAATTAATTTTATTAGATTTTCTATTTTCTGGATCACGTGTCTGTTTTGAATCTTTGCCAATTTTTCTGCTGGGAAATTTTCGATGAGGACGATGAATCACAAATTAAATATTGTATGAGGTGGGTGTGTTTATGTGTGGAAGCTTCCATCGAAGAACCTGTTATCAATTGAGTATTCAGTCTCGAGTAATCAAAAAAAAAAAAAAAAAACCGCTGGGAAGTTTTGCACACACCTAATATTTTCATTTTTTGTTCTGACTTTTTATAATTTCGTTGTTTTTCTTTTGTCTTTTCCTTTAATGTTTCTTTTTTGTTTCTTTGTTTTTCTTTTTTTTACTTTCCTTCTCCTTTCCCTTTTGTTTTTTCTTTCTTTCTTTCTTTCTTCTCTTCCTCCATCCTCTCTTTGTCCGTCCACGTTTTTATCCTTTTTTCATGGTGTCCTTTATTTCTGATTTTCTTTCTTTCTTTCTTTCTTTCTTTCTTTCTTTCTTTATTTATTTATTTATTTATTTATTTATTTGCTTTTTTTTACAACTTCTTTCTTTTTCTTTTTTTCTCGTTCCTCTCTTTTACACCTGCTTGTTTTTTCTTCTTTTTTCATTCCTCGTTTTCTTTCCTTTTACAGCTTCTTCATTTTCTTCTTTATTACTTTTCGTTCTTTTCTTCCACCTTTCCTGATTTTCTTTTATTATACACTTTCTTTCTATCTATCTTTCTTTCCTTTTCTTTCTTTCTTTCTTTCTTTCTTTCCTTCTTTCTTTCTTTCTTTCTTTCTTTCAACGTCATTCCTTTCTTTATTTCCCTTTCTTCATACTGCTTTTATCATTTCGTTCTTTTTTTCTGTCTTTTTTTCTTCCGATATTGATTGAATAGTTCTTTTCTTGTACTTTTCCGCCATTATTTATCTTGACTTCGTTCATTTCTCCTTCTTTTCTTTTTCTTTCGTTCATTCCTTTACTTTTCCTTTTAATCTTGTCACTATTTCCTTGAAAAATCTTTCTTTCCATTCTTCCCGCCAGAATCGATAGAGAAACTCTTGCGAGAAAGTCAGACCGTCACAAATTGGTCAATATCTTGGCATAATCTCAAATAGCCAATCACCATCTCTCGCTTAAAAGTCAAGGAAAAACTAGCACAAGCACTTTTCTCTCTCTCTCTCTCTCTCTCTCTCTCTCTCTCTCTCTCACTCTCTCTCTCTCTCTCTCTCCTTTAAACACACCCACGCTTATGAGAGTAGATCAATAACTCTTTAACTTGAAATATATTTTTTAGCTGAATTTTCATCTGAAGTTTTCACTAAATAGTTGTTGTTTTATTTGTTTTTTTTTTACTAAAGTTCATTTAATACACGGCTCGAGTGCCACTCATGGCAGAGTGTTACTGAATATTGTGTGTGATATGAATGTAAGAAGTATTAATAGCTGGTGAAGAGTATGAAGGTAAGAAGGAGGATTAACGACTGACCCTTGAATTGAAGAGATTAAGATTATAGTGTTCAGTGAAGCGTCCATGCTGGAGTCTGTTCAATAAAGTAACAGTGCTTGAGTAAAATATATCTGGGTGGAAGTAACTTCTTAAATTTTGAATGCTGAGAGAATCAGGGGGATTCGACTAACATATCCCCCACAAAACCGCGTAAACAATTTTGAAATCTATCAAAGTTGGAAAATGAAGACTGAACAGCTCCAAGATTAAAGGAGATTATGTTGAAAGGAATTTTCTTATATAAAATAAATGTTTTATTCATCATTAAACTACAGACTTGTTGATTTAGATGCATGCACACCAAATTCACTAAGTTACCTTCTATCCACAGGGGAAGTGTCTCTAGGATCCCAGCATATGTCTTAAACCAGAAACAATATCAAGCCCTACATATAAGGAACGTCAAAACTAATGCCTTTTATTTATTCATTTTTATGAAACAAAAATAAATGACACTAGTTTAAGATGGCTTAAAATTAACAGTAGCTTACGCGTTTGGGAATGGTTAAATGTTAATTTTGATCGGAGGTTGATAGGATGACGTGGCGCAAATGAGTGGCCATTACGATCACCAGACCTAACACCACCAGACTTTGTCTTCTTGTGCGGTCCACTGAAAGATTTTATTTAGACTCAAACCGAAAACAATTTCTGAAATGAAACAAGCAATTTCTGATAAATTTTCTGAAATTAATGTAAAAATGTGTTGAATGTTTTGTACAAGCGTTGCTAATAGGGTTCAGCATTGTATTGAACATGAAGGAGAGAATGTTAAATAGTTTGTTAATAATATTGTTTTGATGTGAAAATACTTAGAAACTTTCTTAAACTATTGTAATTCACGCTGTATATGTGTGTGTGTGGGCAAATACAAGAAAACGCAGGTGACAATTTTAGATTAAAAAAAAAATAAAACAAAAGATGACTTATGTTTAACTGTGGTTTTGTGCATTCTGGAATGGTTAAATCTTAATTTCGATCATAAGTGATTAGGATGACGTGGTCATCACAATCATCAGACCTAACACCACCAGACTTTTTCTTGTGGGCTTTACTGAAAGATTCTGTTCACAAGCTCAAACCATAAACAATTCATGAACTGAAGCTAGTAATTTCTGATAAATTTTCTGAAATATATTAAATCGTCTGCGGAAGCGTTGTTGATGGGGTTCAGCATTGCATTGAACATGAAGTGGGGGAGCATTTTGAACATGTTAAATAGTTTGCTAATCATAAAAACAATCATTTTGTTTTGATGTGTCAATACTTATAAACTTTCTTAAACTAATTTAATTTATTTTTCTTCTATAAATGTTAATGAAAAAAGCGTTGCTTTTGCTGCACCCTGTGTATAAACTGTTTATTTTAATCGATCCGAATCGGTTAAAAAGTTAAAGAAATTTTAGGTCTACGTTAAATTTAACTGCTACAAATTCTGAAAGTCGATGCGTATTATACACAGGAGTTACTTTTTTACAAAATGTTCCAGCTCAGATCTAAGGATGCTAATGTTACAAATTAATTATGGTAATATACAAAATATGTGTAAATATAATATATATATATATATATATATATATATATATATATATATATATATATATATATATATATATATATATATATGGAGAGAGAGAGAGAGAGAAAGAGAATGTATTTATTATTACAGAGCAAATAATAAGTGCACAATCAATGAAGCAACCTACTGGAGGTAAAAATCTGCCTCGTCAGTCATGCATCGAAACTTTTGTTTTTACTTATAACTTTTCTTAAACTACTTTATATTTGTTATCTAAAAATTAATAAATAAATAAGAGCGTTAGTTTTTCCGTATATATATATATATATATATATATATATATATATATATATATATATATATATATATATATATATTAAATGATAAATTTCAATTTATAAATGAGACCAAATTATATCAAATAATAACGAGTCATAGGATATTTCCGTTTTGGATCACCAATTGAAATGACGAATGTTTCATTCAATCTACATGCTCATTCAATGTGTCAGTTAAGAATAGATTCAGAGTAAAACACGGCAAAGTGGATGAAAGAAAAAATGTTCTTCTCCTTCTTGACAACACAAGTCTACATACACAGTAGGAATAACACAGGGAAACAGTTGGGAACTCGGCTGGTCTGTTCTACCCCCCACCCTCTTCCACCACACACACCACCTTGCCATATTTACGTAATCTTCCACCAATCGATTATTACCTTTTTCAATCGTTGCAAAACGCTTTGGCGGGGAAAGCCTTTTTTTAACCCATTCGCCTCAAGCAAGGCGATTATGCCACTAAGAGGCAAAGGAGCTATTGGGAGTGAAAGAGAATAAAAAAAAATTAACGAGAACCGGAAACCCAATCCTAAAGAGGAAACGAGGGATAAACCTCTACCGCCGTTCAAAAAGCAAGATGCAAAAGTTGGTTGAAAACTTTCCAGTCAAAACCTGCGAAATTTTACTGATAAAGTATCGAATAGCTGCTGCCTGATAAGTGGCAACATACCATTGCAAATAATGGTGAATATATTATTGAATAATATCTAAATGGACTTTAATGTTAATGTTGTATATGTTGCTGGATCGTCAGAGTATTATTAATTTAGAGCTCTTTAAAACGCTATGCGTATTTATATGCCCAGCAGCCGAAACGTGTCCTTAAAAGATTGGTCGAAAAGTGCCTTGCGCTCGTCAGTAAGAAAAATGTTTTTGTCTCCTCCGTGACAACACAAGACCACATACGGCAAGAATAACACCGGAAAACATTATGGAACTCGGTAGGTCTATTCTGCACCCCCCACTACACCATATTCAGCTGAGTACCAACCGAGTACCAACCGATTATTAACGTATTTGATCACTGCAAAAAAAACTGATGCGAAAACTTTCTCTAATGAAAATCAGATTTAACAATGCATTGAAGGCGTTTTCAAATCAATACCTGCGGAGTTTTAGTCAGAAGGTATCGAACGGCTGCCTGATGGAAGTGGCAACAAGTCATTGCAAATAATGACGAATATATTATTGAATAATATGTAAATGTACTTTAGTTTTGAAGAATAAAGTTGATAAAGAAATATAGAATTTATGACTCAACCTAACTGATATTTTAACGCAGGAATTTTACTCAAAAACTAAAGGAAGAGCTAAGTGGCAACAAGTCATTGCAAATAATGGCGAATATATAAATAATTGAATGAAGTTTAATTATACCTTATTCTTTCGAAGAATAAACTTGATAAATAAAAACAGGCATTATTTATAACACATCCTAATAAAATAAAACAATATATGAGAGTCGGCTTAAAATTTCATAGTGTATACACATGCATGTGTCCCAGAATGCAACAGCTGTCCGGCCAGCTGTTGTATTCTGAGACACATGTATGTCTTTTACTATACCAGCTGGTGTGTCTACTTACATTTATATCTTGGTCGGCCTATGAAGTTGCTAGTCAAGCCTCATACTGTTTTAACGGGATCATCAGGCTTTTGTGATTTTTTTTTTTTTTTTATAGATGCCCGTTCAAATCACGTCAAAATCTACCAGTCGTACGTTATCACTTTGTAGCGGCTTTGATATATATATATATATATATGTGTGTGTGTGTGTGTGTGTGTGTGTGCGTGTGTGTGTGATACGTAGCAGTGGAGATATTATTGTGGTCGCATGAGGGTTTTTATTTCCGAACAGAAAATTGTGTAGTTTACCATTAATCTTACTGTGCACAATAAGAGATCAAAATTAGTAACTAATAATAAAATTGAACAATTATTTTATCTTAGTAAATAATTTAACATATGACGCACTTTTACCAGACTACCGCTTATTTGCTAAAATAAAACTATTGAATCGATTATTATAGAAAATAAGCAACCCATATTGGATAAATTTCTTTCACCACAGCAGACAGGATATCGAAGCGTGTACAACATATTTAGTATACGTAAATAATAATAATAATAATAATAATAATAATAATAACTGATACATATCCCCCCCCACCCACTCATTTTAACCGTTACACATGACGTCACTTTGGATTAATTCAAACTTTCAGTCCGGTATGAATTACCAGGATGTAATCAACGGAACCTTGCCTACGACACAGACAGTCCATGGTTCTTGGAAATGACTGAAATGGTTGAAGTAACAGAATGAACATAAACTTCGGAAATTTAACCACAATTTCGATCTTGATATACGCTTTATCTGAACAATGGGAAAATGCAGTGAGAATTTAAGCATAACTTAACTGTTGAATTTAATAAGATTTATATATAACAAATATCTATAACAGAGCGCGTTCATGCGGGTGGTTTAAAAATTCACCATTACAACGGAATGCAGATATTATTGCAGTTACAATAGGTTTGTCTTTGTAATTTATCCTTGAAGATGACCTTGGAAAAGATTGAAAGTACTTAGGTTAAAAAAATCTATGGCACCTTAATTGATGAATCTTAACATCAAGAAACTGATTAGACAACTGGAAAGGTATAAAAAATAGACACAATAGGTCTATATTATTCAATGAACATGTCTGAATGAAGATATACTGCCTATACACACACACACACACACACACACATATATACATATATATATATATATATATATATATATATATATATATATATATATATATATATATATATATATATATTATAATAAAAAAGAAACAACAGTAAGATATATAATCCGGT